GTGACCAAGTGAAAATTTATGATAGGAAACAAAATTAGAAAGAGGATGAGCTGTACCTGAAGCTGTAACTGGAGCGGTGGTGTGCGCAAAAGAAGAGGACGATGGAAGAGTAGGGCAAACATAGTTAGCAAGATGGGCAGGATGTTTTATAGTACGATGGGGACGAGCGGAAGGGGGGACGTTAATGGGATCGACAGGGGACGAGGTTGATGGTGGGGAAACGAGGCGTTTAGCGATAGGAAGGGATAAGATGATAGGTGATGGAGAAGACTGGGGTACTAGTTTGAAGGGAAAAACATGCTCAATAAAGGTAATGTCCCGTGAGATTATAGTTTTCTTATTTTCTAAGTCATAAACCCGATATCCACTATGAGTAGGAGGATATCCCAAAAAAACACAGGTGCGAGCACGAGGTTGAAACTTATTATGATGAGCAGATATGGTGTGAGCATAGCAAAGACAACCAAATACACGCGAATGGTCATATCGGGGTGCATGTTGATAAAGGCGCTCAAAAGGAGAAATATTATGTAAGGATGAGGATGGGGTACGATTGATGAGATATGTAGCAGTGAGAACACAATCACCCCAAAAATTGAGAGGAAGATGAGCCCGAAAACGTAAGCACCGAGCGACATTTAGGATATGACGGTGCTTACACTTGGCAACACCATTCTGTTGAGGTGTTTCCACGCAAGTACGTTCATGAAGAGTACCTTGTTCAAAAAAGAAGTCCTGAGTTGCATTAGCAAGGAATTCTTGACCATTATCAGTGCGAATGTGTGGTATGGTGGAATTGAATTGAGTCCGAATCATGGCAAAAAATGTGCAGAGACAGGTTAAAGTTTCGGATTTGGAACGCATCAAATACAATCATGTAACTCGAGTGTATTCATCAACAATTGTTAAAAAGTAATGTGCATCGAATAGAGAAGTGGTGTGATAGCCGTCCCAAATGTCACAAAAAATGCGTTCAAAAGGCATCGAACTCTTATTATTAATTAATTGAAAAGGTAATCGAGTTTGTTTTCCACGAGTACATATGTCACAATGTTTATTGATTTGAAAATGGGAAATAAATTGGGGAACATTATGGGGGGAAGGATGACCTAAACGTTGATGCCATGTGTCAAAAGATATCTGACTAGATGATTAAAGAGCAATTGTAGGAGTATTCTTGAAATAGTAAAGTCCATTGCGCTCATCACGTACTCCAATCAGCATCTTCGTATTTAGGTCCTGAAAAGTACAAAATGTAGGAAAAAAGAAACAACACAGTTGAGAGACTTCGTTAGTTGACTGACAGATAATAAATTAAATTGAAAATCTAGAACGGATAAAACATTTGAAAGTGTGAGACGAGGTGACAAATTAACATCACCTGAACTAGATATAGGAGCACGAGAACCTGTGGGAAGTCCAACAAAATGTGGGCAAGGGGTATTATTGGAATTATTTAAAATTGAAGTGGTGATATGGTGTGTTGCACCACTATCAATTACCCAAGATTTTGAATTAAGTGGGGATGTAGAAATAGAACTTGTGGAGGGCGTAGGGACGGAATCTGTGGAGTAGAGGTGTGAGGATTTGAGGAGTTCCATTAATTGGGTAATGTGCTCGGTCGAGAGACCATGGACGGCGCTGCTCATGGTGGGAGGTTCAGACGCAGTTGAAGTTTGGTAGGCTACTGGTGATGGAGCTCCCTGTCCTGTACGCTTTCCCTTCGACTGCCACCAATCCGAGTAGCCAATGACCTCAAAACAACTTGTACGAGAATGTTCATGTCTGCCACAAACCTCACAGACACGCCGTGGGAGAGGATGAGCCTTCTGCAACATCTAAGAATGGCTAGCTAGGGCTGAAATTTCTGGTCGAGGGGTAGGCAATTGGACTAGGCGTTGGGCTTCTTCTTGATGTAGAATGGCATAGCAACGCCCAATTGAAGGAAGGGGGTCCATAGCCAAGATTTGGGACTGGAGTTGTTGATAGCTATCGTTGAGGCCCATGAGGAATTGGTATACACGATCCGAATCATAGATTTCATAAATTAATTTAGCTCGCAAGTACATGAAGTTGTAGGCTGGAGTGAGGCTAATTCATCCCAAAGTTCCTTTAATTTTCCGTAATAGACTATAATGGATTGGTGTTTTTGATTAAGATTTGCCAGTTCACGCTTCAATCGAAAAATCTTGGTTCGGCTGCTCAGCTGAAAACCTGAAAACGGGTTTCCAATTCTACCCACAGATCGTTGGGTGTCGCACAGTAGATAAGACTTTTGGTGAGGGACCGGTCAATAGATTGAAGAAGCCACGACATTATCATGTCGCAGCATCAATCCCAGAGGAGTGTAGCTGTTGTATCTTCGGTTGGCCGTTTAATAGTGCCGAGAACGAAACCCAACTTGTTTTTGGCATTCAAGGCACGTGTTATGGATCGACACCAAGAAGGATAATTATCCCCATTGAGAACTACATCGACTAGTGACTGATTTAGTTGATCGGATGAATGTAGGAAGTAAGGGGATGAGGTATTTGTAAGAGCCTTGGTGGCTTCCGGCACAAGGGTATCCATTACCAAGTATGGATTCTTTAACCTAGGTGCTCTGATACCATGTTACAATTGATATGTGAATGAAAATTTCTCATATATCTTGAATGAATGTTCACAAGTCCTTTTATAATACACGTGAAAAAGAAACCTAGGCTGATTTAGGAATATAAATCAAAGGGAAATTACGATTGGATTAATAAGGAAAATATAAGGAAAGTAATATTCCTCAATATGGTATTACTCGTAATAACATCTGTAACACTATCTATATTGTTTATCCATACAGATAGCTTTATCTTGAAGAAAAAGTAAGTTTTGCATTAAATTAAGATAATAAATGTAAAGTTTTGGGATACACTTTCGCATTAATGACAGCATCTCAAATCTACCTTATCAACTTTGTAGTCCAAACAAGGTTAAATGTATTGTTATATTCATACGCGTTTTTGTTTAGGAAATAGTTTACATGACATAAAATTAGATGATAGATGATTATAATTGTAGAGGTTAAAATCTGCTGTCAAAGACATGGTCAACTTCCTGCTGAAGGTGCTAGGAATCCATGTGATTTTTCACATGTTGCATCCACATCTATAAGATCAACTCAGATTTGTGGTTAAATTTGGTAAAGTAATGATCATATACTGTTCATGTATTTAAGCATATTAAGGTGGAATTAGTACAAGACATGACTGTTACTTACGTGGAAGGGTGTCAACTATTGGTAGAATGTTTTATATGATGGATAATGACAAACTAACACTACAAGAAAAAAGGCCTTTGCAACGTACAAAAGTCAACATTCACCAATTGCATGTTGCTAAAAAAGATCTATCACAATATTCAGTAAGTGTATGTTGCTATTAGTTGACTAAATTGAGTATTGACAACGCTTTTATAATGAATGTTGTTAATACACCCTTTTTCAATGTTCGCAATCCGTTATCATTGAATTTCATTTTGCAACATGCAATGCACGTTGCTCTTAATGTTTTAGCAACTCGCTCTTGAACGTTATCATTAACCTGTCGTTAAATATTTTAACAATGTGCATATGAATGTTGTCATTAATATTTTCGCAACGTTCATTGCATATTGTCGTTAAGTATTTTAGTAACGTTCTTTGAACGTTGTCATTAATCTTTTACCAACGTTCATTTGTATCGGATCTTACCCGCTTAATTCGACCCGACTCAAATTAAAAAAAAAACATCCCTAGCTTGGTCATTCTCAAAACTCTATCATCTCTCAACCACAGAAAAAATGCTACCTCACTCTTTCCCAAAAAATTAGATCTTGAAACCCTAAGTAACAAGCTGAGCGAGCCGGCTCGGGCTTTTTTTAGGCAAGCTTTTTTTGGTCCGAGCCGAGCAAAAGTTCGGCCAAAAAATTAAGGCTCGACCCGAGCTTTCAGCTCGGGCCTTGTCGAGCCGGGCAGGCTCAAATTTCTGATTATTATTATTATTATTATTATTATTATTACTACTACTACTACTACTACTACTATTATTATTATTATTATTATGTAATTTTCTCTTCTCTTAGCTGCCAAACAGGTAGCATTATAGTCGCCAACAGGCAGCAGGTTTTGTTGCCTGCCAGCAGCTTGCCTTAATCGGCAGCTTCTGTTGGAGACTATAATGCTGCCTTAACCGGCAGCTATGAAGGCAGTTTAGCTGCCAAACATGTAGCCAAACTAGCTGTCAAACATGCATCAAATTTTTTCTATTTTGTTTTTAATACACAGGCCGGCCCAGCTCAAGCCGACTCCCCGAAATGGGGCTCGGCCCGAGCCAACTAGCCTGATTGCCATCCCTACCCTGACTACTAGCGATTCTTATTCTCTTGATGAGATTGTCTACTACAACTGCTCTAGTAGGCTTCTTGTCATGTGCAGTACTGAAGGTAACTCTTTGTTTCGTGTGTTGGGAAGATTATGTGGCCTTATGGGTCTGAGGTATGGTCGAACAAGGAGTGAATTTTGTTGAAAATTGATAGTGATGATATTGTTAGTACATTTCAGGGGAATTTGAATTTGTTCTGGGCTGAGCATTATGGCAAACAATTTTTGGGCATTTAATGATTTGTGGATGTACAAATCTCGGCTTAACAAGATATGTGAATTCTTGAAAAACCAACTGCTCTTTTCCTCTTTTAGATGTTTGTGTAAGCTTACAAAAATTACCAATATAAGTAAAAACTTAAAAAATTTAATTGAGTTGTTTAAAGTCTCTATCCCTTTTTGTACTCAGGAAATGGTAATTACGTCATTCCCCATTTTTAACATTTTAATCTCTTTCTATCTGTTATTATTATTATTATTATTATTATTATTATTATTATTATTATTATTATTATTATTATTATTATTATTATTATTATTATTATTATTTAAGGATAATTAAAATGGAATTTGCATAATTTATAAATTTATCTGCTTATTCATGAAGTTTTTACGAGGTGCAAGTCCAGTGTTGGTAGTGGAAATTCCAAGGACAAGAACATTACTGGTATTTTTTCACTTGTTCTTCTTTTGCCGATTCAAAAAGGTTTATATACGAAATTTTAGAATTTCCAATTATTGTTGAACAGCAAAATATAATAGTTGAATGCTTGCAATCTAAATAAATGCAATTTTGGTAGGAAAATAGAGAAAATAATTAACAGTTATCTTGAATATTGCTACAGTAGTAACTGTTAGTTCACTTAAGGAAGGATGTAAGAAAAAGATATAAAGTATATAAATGAGCATACATATTTTGAACTCTGCATTAAACTGGACCAGCTATTAGTACCCAACGCTAGGTATTTATGCAACAAAATTGTCATCTGTAGTTTCCTTTTTAACTTTTCCCAATTTGAAAAGAGATTCGTTCTACTGCTGAGTGATGATCTATTCATTCTCAATTAAGCTTAATTTGAAATGAGCTAAATCAGTTACATTGTTTAATAAACCAGTTAAATTTTTAGTGCTCTACAGAAGATTAAAGCTCTGAATTCTACCCTGTTAATAGCCAATCGTATTTACCCTGACTACTCTGCCATGGTGAAAAAGCTTTGTGCTATGAGTTAGAATGCTCAAGAGCAGGTGCGATCTTAGAAGATGCAGGAAACCTTTCTTGTAAGTCTTAGCGGAAGAACTATCCCGAAAGGTTTTCACTGCCTCTCTTTGAAGTAGTCGCTAAATACTCTACCCTAGAGCCTGAGAAATGGGTGCTCCCCAACCTAGATAAACTGCAAAATCTGGAACTCTATTAATTTGCTATTTGTTCTGACAATATTTTGGCTTGTTCAATTGTTGTGAACTCAAACCATTTCAACTGCTTGGGAAAATTGCCACCATTTTTCCAATCCCTTCCCTGGTTGACAGTGCCTTTTGTTCTGTTTTTTATATTTTCATATTTTAACATAGGATCATTGAAATGTTAGCAGGTTAAGTTAAATTAGAAAATCATGGAGAGTGTCCTCAAATTGGAGAAAGGAAATTGATTTGGTGGAGAGAATATTAATTACTTTATAAACCCCTAACAAATATGTCTATGTTTTTTCATGCCTATTTGTTCTTATTATGAGTTCTTGTTGCCCATGGACGTGCAACTAAATTTTGTGTATATGATGGGCATAGGACCTATGTGAATTGCAAGAATTTTATTTTGGAGTCTCTTTTGTTATTGTAGATTCTTAAGTCCACTATCCATCATATTTGTTTGCGATTTTTCACTTTTTTGATTTTCATTTGCCATTTCTTTTTAATTTTGTTTTCTTTTCTTTTCTTTGTTCATGTGGAATACCCTTAACTTTATTCATATAAATTTTCTAGCAACAGTGCAATGACTATGTAACGAAGACGCATCCAGCAGATGTTCAAAACTTAGAAAAGTTTATTCATGTTGAGAGACGAGCAGGAAATACGTCAGCCGTAGCTAGCGCTAAAATTTTGGCATCTTTATCAAACTTGAGGCAAGATTTATCACGTCTAAAGCCCTCAGTTTTTATGTTTAAATATTTTTACTTGTAGTATGTCTATTGGTGTATTTTCCTAACTTTTGTAATTTCTTATTGGTTCTCACTTATTTAGATTAAACTTCTGTTCTATTATTTATCTGTAACTCAATTTTTTTTCATTTTCTTTAGTGATTTAGACTTATATGTTCTTGTTTGTTAGCAAGAATGACCAAATTTGCCTACTTTGGTTTAGGGTTTCTATTTTTAAAAGATTACCGTATGATTGTTTCTAGCCTAACACGTGATCAATATTTTCATTATTCGTGTCTGTTTTGATACCTCCATTTAATGAATTATTTTGAGTTCTATGTGAAATGTTATTTGTGTTGCAGGATGGATTTTGTTGTTGTTTCTCACCTAATTGAAATTGTGTTTCCTTTGTCCTATTGAATTTGTTTCTAAGTGTGTATGGTTGTGAGTGGCACAGATTCCTAGAAACACGGGATGCATTGCTAGAACCTGTGCTGTTTTATTTGTTGGATTATCAACTTCAGTATTTCGCTTCGGATTTGATTATTAGCCATAAATAGATTGGAATGATGAAAGATGGAAGATTTCAGTGAATGATTAAGGTGTAAGATGGAAGATGCTAGCATAGGAATATCGACATCAAAGTCGTTGAAGTTAATTTTGTACTATAATCTACTTATTTGGTGAGGCTATTGAATGTGTTCTAGTTCACTAGGAATGTGTTCTAGTTCATTTTTGTGTGGATTCAAAATTCATAATGAAATTATTATCAATTTTGTTGGTTAATTTGTGTAAATTGTTTTATGTGTGTGTATTACCAATGCAACGGTCAAAAAACATTATTACTTACGGCAACGGTCAAAATATGTTGCAAAAATTAAGGATATGAGTATAGGCAGCAGGGAAAAAATGTTGCAAAAGTTTATTAGCAACATTCATAGAATGTTGCAAAAAGGTTAATACCAATACCCAAAAAATGCTACAAAAAGATTATTCACAATGTTCAACAAATAGTGCAAAAATTTTTTTCGCAACATTCAAATAACGCTGCAAAAAGGTTATTCACAACATTTAAAAAAAGTTGTCATAACCTTCTACTCTACGGCAACATTGAAATTTGCAACATACGCCCGAACTCTGCAGAAGGTCTATGACAATGTTTTTCGAACGTTGCAAAATGTTTTTGGTGAAGTGTAAGTGCTTTCACTATCCAATTTTTTAGTGTTTGTATTCCATCACAATTAATGTCACGTTTTTAAGTCATGTTTTGTAGCATGATTTTACTAAAAATGAAAATAAACATGATTTAAAACAGTAAGGCTGCACGAATCATCCATGTTAACTTTTTGACACAGCCTATCCACCAAGTCCATTCAAACATTTACTATAATTCAGTGTAAAATATATTTGTGTCTTTTGTTTTCAAAATCCATTTTTTACACTATATTAGCTTATTTCAAGAATATATTGTGTGCAAAACTAATAAGAGAAGTTGTGGGCTTTCTCTTGCTGCCTACCTAAAAAACAAAGATATGGGATATACTTTTCATGACATTCATGCAAAATGAAAATCCGTTGTTGCCAAATTAAGTTTTTGTTCACTGCATATTTGACTACGTTAAAAATTTCATTTATAATTAAATAAATAAATTTTATAACAAAAAATTTTTAATGATTAGAGCTAAAATAAATGACTTATTGTAATAGTGAGAGATGCTACATGTTTGATTAAGCTTAAAAGTAATTATTATTTTATTTTTACGTTGGTTTTCATATATTACTTATTTTGACCATGAACTAGATACTTTTATCAAATAAGTAACTTTCTAGTTAGATGCATGGAATTGATCCATTGTTAGAGAGCAATCCTGGACTCGACGAATCATTCCTTTTTTTTTTTTTTCTTTTTCTTTTCGAATATGAAATAGGGTACTGCCTTGGTAGAGGAATTTTTCCATCAAAACTTCAGAAAGGATGTAGAAAAACCAAGATCCCATAGATAGTTCGAACGGTATAGGAACAATAATCAATTGTAGCTCAAATGGTTTGTAGAGTATATATATAATTTTGTCGATAAAAATATTATTTGGTAAAAATTTATTTATTTGTAGACTAATAGGATTATAAGTATATTGTTCATGTGAATCTTGCAAGCGTATGTAATCGTTGATAAATAATAGATTTGATAAGTTATGATTAACGTCCCCACGAAAAATTAAATTTCAATGCAACTTTACTAGCTTTGTAAGAAATTCGAATTATGTGACACAAATGAGGTTTTGATTTGTAATTATACTTAATTAGTCTAAGAAATTTGTAGAAAGTGTTTGTCTTTCTATCATTTTATGGATTGTATTAGATTTAGAATTCGTATATTGCTATCTATTTTAATTTTCAATTATGTAATTTAGTTCTATTCATGCATTAATGACAATCAAGTTGTCATATTTAACTTTCTTTTCAAAGATAAATCATTTCTATTCTAATCACGATTTGAGCATATTCCTAATACGAGTTCAAATTATCAAAGCATGTTAATTTTAGATAATCTATATAATTATACATGTGATATTGTTATTCCTAATTTCTATTGCACGTGTCTTAATTTTGTCGTGTTTTAAATTTATTGTGAGTATCCAACACTATAACAACTAATTATCGAATTGATGATCAAGTAATTAAATAATGTAATAGAAATACATAATTAATCAATAAACATAAGAAATACTAAACTACTAGTTAGCAATAAGGATCATCTTCATCCAATATAATTACAGATCTAACCTAACATGATTTTATATAAATTATAAGAAGAGAAATAGAAAGTATCATCTGGTTCATGAAATAATCCAAATCATATTGATCTTCAAGTTAAAGGTTGAAATCTTCAATTTCTTGATGTAGGGCAAGAGCGAGTTCTCCCATATTTTCCACAAGTTCTATATTTATATAAGTTGAAGAATAGGTTAAATTTTGGTCCAATTTGAATTTCGAGCAAGTTCTTGTCGAAAAAGAAAAATTAGACCATCTAGTGAAAATTACACAGCGCCTATTTCCACGCATGTGTGCTGTTGATTAAAATTTCTCTTGGATGATTTTTAAGTGGCCGGTGCACTTGGGTGGTTTGTGCAACCCACCTAATTTTTCAAGATCTGAATAGCTTTCAATATTTTGTCATATCTTTTTCTTTTGCTATCCAATTAAGGTGATCCAAAATGCATTGAAAAGATAATTCAAAAGATTGCAATTCTCCTTGAAATAGTACTTCTCCAACTTGAACGTTTGCTATTCGAAAAATGGATTTCAATTTGAGGCTGAAAATTTGGTGCATAACTTATTCGGCTGAAAATTGATTTTGTTTCAATTTTTTCACTCATTTGACTTCTATTCGCATCCAATTGATCATTCGTGGTCTTCAATCATCATTATGGTCCTAATAAACTATTGGATTTTTCTTTCAATTTCACCAATTTGCATTGAGTTCAACCTAATAAACATAATTAACATATAATTAAGCTATAATTCTTCCAGATCAATAACAAATAATCCAATTTAATTATCTAGATAAGTGTATTATTGAAGCTAATTAGCTAATATGGGCTTGATCCCATGCAATTTTTTTCGATTTCATGTGGAATTAGAATGCATTGGTTATATTATCGTGCGGACTATGCATGGTGTTTTATAGAGCAAAATATTCCAGCAAGGTAAAATCACAAAAGTGAATACGCTATAAACATAAAAGACCATTAATTGAAAATAATTTTGTCAATAATTCTCTGTAGTGTGAGATTCACAGTTGGAGTGCTTGAGGTACTATGAGGGAGATGTAGCATGCTTAACATATAGAAAGCAAGAATAATTAAAGTGTGACAGACTTGAAGATTACATACAACAAGAGATTAATATGTACATTGATCAAATAGGATATCAAAACAACATTTTATACGTGTATTGTTGTAGGATAAACAAAGACAAACCTCTCTCTCGTGTGGACAATGTGTGTTCCATACTAATGGCATGCTTCAGGTGGATAATATCCGGAGTTGTGCAGTAACGTCAATGACTAATATACATTTCCAAGTTGAGTCACGTAATAAGGATATGAGATTGATTGGGCATTTTTTAATATGTGATCTCGTACAACACTGCTGCAAACAAAAATTGTAAGACAAGATAATGAGAAATGTGTGAATTTTGAGAGTATTACATGTTAAGACGAAGAAAAAGAAAAGAAAATCATGATCAAGATTTGATTAGAGTAAAGCCCTTCATTTTCATATTTCTCCAAAAATTGGTTGTTGAGTGGAGTACATTCCAACATTACTAATTTTAATGCTACGAAACAAACGATAGGACCACTCTGCTACTGAAAATCCCACATTCTTGGTTGAGCTGGGGACGGAGAGGACCACAACCATCCTTTGATTATTTATTTATTTATTTATATATATTTCACGTTCGATTTGTCTTTGAACTATCTAATACAAAGTATACCACGAACTTTAAGAGCTTATGGTGCGTATAAATAGCAGTTTAATTTTATTTTATTTCTGTAACTTTACATTGAGTTATGCACATTTATTGATTATTTATATATGCGACACTGAATTAGAGAAAAAATACGAATGAATTTGAAAGACAAGTCATCTAAATGACTAAAGTGATTTTTTTGGTGTCTAAATGTTCAACTGATATGGATTCGATGAAATTAATAATCGACTAATTAAGTGTAGAGACAGATTACTTATCAATCAAGTTAACGATGGATAAAGCGCTTGACTACATCTAAAAACTTTTGTCCTGTTATGAGTCAACATATATATTATTACACGTTTAATTGGATCCATCTAACAACAACCATACAAAATCAAATCTTGTCTCAGCACTAGGATTTTGGTCTCTGAGCCCTATCAAACAATCTTTGGCCACTATAAACAATATGCTCCACCAAGGGCGGAGCCAAGAATTTTGTCCAGTGCGGACAAAATTTAGTCAATGTCAGACTTTTTAGTTATAGATTTAATGATATTACAATAACGCTAAAAAAGATATAGTGACAACACTAATAAGATTATCATCTTCTTCCTTATTCTAGGATTTGTAACAAGTTGTGCAACATCAAAGATCAATTTTATTCGATATCTCCTCATCAACATTTTCTACGAAATATATATTTTTTTAAAGAATCTCTCCATTGACATTTCACACTAAAATAAACCACAAGTGACAGTTAAATACTAATTGATAAGGAAACAATTAAAATTTTTTACAAATTAGTAGAACATCAAAAAATCATCACTAATTGTTTGACTAATTGACAAAAATCAAGATTTTAAGAATCCATCACAAATATTACCAATATTCAATATTCACATAATCATAATCACTAATATTAAATAGAAAAATCACATGATCAAGAAACTTTTTGATGCAAATTTGAGGGCTCAAGGAAACGTGGGTTTTAAGAAAGAAATAAACTTTGAAAATATTTCAAAACGATAGTAGATTAAAGGAAATTTTTTAATTTCTTGTCGAGGGGAAAGAGTTAGAAAATGTCACCGTGCACTTGGAGTTGGGGTAAATTAGTGTATCGATTGGACTATAAATAAAAGTAAAACCCAATACTTAAAAAAAAAAAACAGATAAAAAAAAAAAAAAAAAAAAAAAAAAAAAAAAAAAAAAAAAAGAAAAGCCAAGTGAGTGGCTCCGCCACTGTGCTCCACCAAGTAACTGATATTTCACATAGGCATTAACATTATTTAATACTAGTAATACCCTCACGAACACATATGAATAACTTTACCAAATTTCATGATTAACCTCTCAATCACAAAATTGAGTCACTCTATAGCATAAGGAACTCCACATCGTATTGAGCTCTTTGCTATAGTTACTTTACCAAATTTCATACTCACTCTCTCAACAATTAAGTGATAGGTCATTCTATAAAATGGGACTTATGTCCCGACTTTTAAGGTGGTCTATCAATTAATACATTTGAATGATACCTAAATTTTATTTAGCACCGTCGATGATAAATAGCACTCTCACTTTTCTTTGTTAACCAAATGCAAAAATAGATTCCCCCAAACACGTTTTCCCGTCACACATGTTGGGCTCTTGGGCTACATCTAATAAATATTTGTTTACCACGTAATCAATGCTCACAATGAATTTGTTGTACTATATATCGAATAAATATGCAACTACTATCCACCTCCTAATTAATGAATGCAAAATAATTCTTCTATTTTAAATTTGAATTATGAAGTCGTCCCACTGTCCATTAGCTACACTGTACGATCAGATTATAAATGAGAAAAATCATTAAATATGTTGGACTTGGGTTGGTGCTTCACTATTCATTGGGCTCTTGCCTTAGTTGTTGGGTTATTTCTACTTGGGCCAATTTGGAGAATTCTTACTCGGCCCTGATCACCCATTACCAAAACGTGTTTTAGTAACAAGTCTTTGACTATTTGGTTATCTTAATCTAGACCCTTAACCTGCTATCGTTGTATCCATTCGATTTAGGTTATGTTTGCAAAAATATATAGCCTCTCTCTTCTTCATGCTGATTGAGTTCTGTGTGTGAAGTTTCTAGGGTTTTCTCATATGGTTCTCTTTCTGTAATCTTGGCAGTTTTTCTTTGTAAATCTTTTGAGTGTTTATTTAGATTGTTGTTTGGTAAATGATCTGTGAGAAAAATTTGGTAAATGATCTGTGAGAAAAATGTTGTATAGATTACTTTGTCTTTGTGATTGAAAGAGAGGCAAGAGTAATATGAAAAAATCTCTGATTATTTCATACATTTGTACTATTTGTTGGTGATTTCTTAGTGGAATTGAGTGCAATCTACTTGTAGATGCTCAACTGGTGAGTACGTTTAAAGCTAAACATCCGAGCCTTTGTGACGAAAATCCTTTGTGTTCTCTTTATTTTTCTACAAACTATTATTGTAAAATCTTTGTGAATATGATTCTAACACCAACAGAGCCTAAAAACTTGATCTATTACGATTTAGGTTTTTTTCCCTGAAACCCTAATTTATGTTCTTTGTTGACTAAAATTTTAAAGAGGATTTTCAACTGTGTTTTTGGAATAAATAGTCTTCAAAAGTTTTTGTTAAATCTCTATTCAATCCAATCTTTGGTTGGATTTTTTTTGAAAGATTGGGTGTATTTTTCAGACACTTGTGTTGGATCTTTTCGATCTTGAAAGTTTTTTAGGAAAACCCTTTGATTTGTTCTGGATATGAAAACTTTTAGTGTTTACTGAATCTTTTGGCTATTTGACTCTTGACTCACCACTGATTTGGTGTGGTATTTTCAGCTCGTCCTGAGTGTTGGTGAGTTGGGTTGACTCATTCGGAGTTTTGCTACTATTCTTGACTAATTGCTAAATTGTACTGAGTCACTATGACGTGTGGAGCATTGACCATATCCTTGGACTTCTGAACTAGTTCTAATATTTTCTCACTACGATCTCTTATTGAACCTCAAAGGTTTCAACTCTAGTATAATCCTCCATACTTTTATCTTTTTGGTCAAACAAATTAGATTGTTCTTGTCTAAGTTTGATTTGGTTATTAAGGTAATTGATCTACCACTGCTTTCCTTTGTCCAAGAGTTCCTATGAGAATATGGGAATCTGATGGATTAGTAGATATATTGGTTATCACCCCTTAAACTTGTTAAATTGACAATTTAATATGCGTTGATCATTACATTGTTATATAATTTCTGAATTGTTTGGATTGAATAATTTGCCTCATAAATTGTGTAAATTGCATGATAAGAAGAATTTTTCTACAATATTCTACCTTATTTTGAAATTTGCATTCTTTATAATCTCCTCATACTGCTTAAATCTGCTATACACTGTGTATTGTATAATCTTGACTTTGTGGGTTTATCTATTGTTATGACAACTGCTCACAAATTTGAAGTAGAAGTTTGGAAGGGGATTGAATATTTTAATCTCTGGTGTCAAAAGATAAGGACTCTGTTGTTACAATAGAGGTATGCTACTGCCCTTGATGGAACATGGGGTACCGAAATTAGTGCTTATTGGAGACAAGAATTAGATGAGATTGCTTGAAGTACAATCTGCCTACATTTGTCAGATAGTGTGATAAGAAAGATAGGGAAAACCACAACTACTGTAGTCTTGTGGACTAAGTTAGGATCCCTTTATTTAACCAAGACAATGCCTAGTAAATGTTATTTCCTTAGACAATTCTCTAATTTCATATTTAATAACCCTTCCACCTCAGAAGAAAACGTTGATAAATTCACTAAATTGATTAAAATATAGCTAATTGTGATGGGGAGCTATCTGATGATCAACAAGCTCTTGCTCTATTGAATGCTCTAGGTGATAAATATAGGGAATTTAATAATGTTTTAGAATATGGAAGAGAGGATTTGACTGTTGATATTATTATCTTGAACTAAAAACTGAAGTCAAGGATTCTAAATTTGGAGGAGGGCTAAACATTAAAGAGAAATTGAATCAGAATAAAAAGAGAAATCTGTGCAACTTAACTCCCTAAAAAGGGAAAATTCCAAACCCCCAAATTTAGAAATCAAAATAAGAGTTAATTGAAATCCAAGAATCAAGTCAAAAAATGTTATTATTGAGCTAAAACTAGACATCTTATAAAAGATTGTTTCAAAATGATATTTGATATAAAGGAAAATCAAACACTGATGAGTCTGCAACAATAGTCTGCTATAATGAATTTGAAGTACAAGGAGTTGTCATTGTCACTTCAACAAAAAGAAGCCCAAAGGAGTTGGTTCTTGATTCTGGTTGTTCCTTTCATATGTGTCCCATTAAAGGATGGATCATTGAATTCAATGATCGAAATGGTGGCCAAGTTCAAATGGGAAATGATATGACTTATAAGATAAAAGGCATTGGTAAGATTAACATTGTGTTAGAAAATAGTCATGTTCTTGAGCTTTCTCTAACAAGATATGTTCCTGATCTTCAGAGAAATCTGATTTCCTTATGTGAATTGGATAATGACTATGAAAATTAAAATCCATAAAGGATTTACGAAATTGTTCTATAACTCTAAGGAAATAATTTCTTTACCTAAGGTTAATGGAATTTGCATACTTCAAGCTGAACCATTAGTTGAAACCTTGTCAGTTTCTGATCGGTCTTCTGATAATAAATCCTTAATCTGGCATAAGAGACTAGGGCATGTTAGTGAAAAGGGAATGATCATTCTTAACAAACTTGGATGTTTTGGAAAGGATAATATTAAGAGTTTGAAATTCTGTGAAGATTGTGTCATTGGAAAGCAAAACAAGTTACCGTTTAAAATTGGAATTCAAAAATCCACTTCAATACTTGATTATTTACATGCTGACCTTTGGGCCCAGCATCAGTAAGTACTTTGAGTGTATTTAGATTCTATCTCCTGATTGTATATGATTTCTCAAGAAAAAATGGACATTTCTTTTAAGAAATACATCTGACACCTTCCAAAATTTCAAACAACGAAAATTGATGATTGAAAATGAAACTAATAAGAAAAGCAAAGTACTCAAAATAGATAATGGGCTTGAATTTTGTAGCACTGAATTTGATTTATTTCGTAAAGAATTTGGTATTTTAGGGCATAGAACAATAACATACCCTCTTCAGCAAAATGGTGTTGCTAAGAGAATGAATAAAAACTTACTTGAAAAGGTTAGGTATATATTATTAAGTTCTAGTCTTCCAAAATTGTTTTGGGTGAAGCCTTACAGACTGTCATGTATATGATAAATAGAATACCTTCTAGTGCTATTGATTCTCAGACCCCTGGATCACTATGGTCTAGAAAGTTCCCAAATTATTCTAAACTTAAAATCTTTGGATGTGCTGACTACTCTCAACAAAATGAAGGAGAACTTGAACCCATTTTCTTAGGATATGGTAAGAGTCTAAGGGATAGGCTTTGGGTGAAGGAATAACATGGGTTTAAAGTGATCATAAATAGAAATGTTATTTTCAATGAAGATGTTCTTCCTTGTAATGATCCTGAAAACCGAAAAACAACATGATCCTGTTACTTCAAAAGAAACTGTTATGGGGAGAGATGAAGAAAATTCCATTGCACTAAATGATTTGATTGAAGTGGAGACTACTCAATCTGAAACAGATCATACTCAAGATGAATTTGAAAATGAAATTCAGACTAATATCTTTCCAGATGATTAGTTAATCAGAGATAGAGCTAGAAGAAATAAGTTTCCTACCACCAAAATTGATTTGATAAATTTGTTACCTTCTATTTTGAAATAGAATTTGTTAATTTTGAAAGAACAGCCTTTGAAGAAGCTATTAATTGTAAAGAATCTAAATTTTAGATGAAATCCATGAAAGAAAAAATGGACTCCTTAATCAGAAATAAGACATGGATTTTGGTTAATAAACCAAAGGATCAAAAGATTATTTATTGTAAGTGGGTCTACAAAGTGAAAGAGGATGAACCCATTGTTGAAGGTAAAAGATATAAGGTTAGATTAGTGGCTAAGGGTTTTAATAAAAAAGAAGGAATAAATTATAATGAAATTCTTCTCACTTGTTGCTAAATACACTTCTATCAGAATTTTACTTGCTCTTTCTACTCACTTCAACTGGGAATTGGATCAACTTGATGTCAGAATGACATTCTTAAATGGTGAGCGTAATGAAACAATTTATATGAATCAACCAAAGGGTTTTGAGCTTAATTTTAAAATTGAAAGAGTTTGTCTTTTAAAGAAGTCACTTTATGGTTTGAAACAAGCACTAATGCGATGGTATAAAAAAGTTTAATTCATATGTAAGCCTGTATCTTTACCTATTGCAAATTATTTTAAATTGTCAAGTGAACAATCCCTTAAAACTGATGAAGAATTTGATAGGATGAGAAAAATACCTTATGCATATGTTGTTGGCTCAATTATATATCTTATGATATGTACTAGACCCGATTTAGCTCATGATATAAGAATTTTGAGTAGATTTATGGCTAATTCAGGTGAAACTCACTGATTCACAGTAAAATAGATGTATAGATACTTAAAGGGTTAACTTGATTTAGGCCTAAAATTTCAAAGATGTAATGAATGTGTGATTTTGAAAGACTACATTGATTTTGATTTTGCAGGTGATCTACGGCAAATTAAATAATTCCAGCCTGATGATATCAAATATGATTGGGCCGGTGGAACAAAAGTCTTTAGCTAATATCCCAATTAAAGGATTGTACTTTACAGTGCCCGGAATACCACAGGTATTGTATACTGCCATAGAAAGAGTTTTTCTGTATTTGTAGCTTATAATTGTAAAATTAGATTTTGTTTCAGATCTTAGATATAGACATCTCAATTCAACATTGAATCAGTTGTTTCTTCATGACATGTTGTGCATGCTGAATTATGCAGTGTCTTCAACTAACAATTGTGAGTTATGTGGAAAAGCTGAGAATTGTCATGTCTGTGGAGAAAGGTTTCATCGATCCAAATAAGTTCAAGTCATGCATTGAATATGCCTTTGAGGCAATTTCTAAAGCAGCACTAGAGTGAATCTCAAACTATATTGTAGCCTTAAAATAATTTCTGATTTGTTTTAAGTTCATTTAGAATTTGATCGGATACTAATATTTGGATTGGATTACTAAATAATTTAAGGTTGTATCTTATGAATCTTTTCTAGTATTTGTTTGATGAGAAATATATATCAATTTTATCCACTTTCTCCATTTCCTCTATCGAAATGTCCAAGAGGAATTTACTCTTTCATCCCTTTTTTGATCTTGAAGGAAAAATAATTTCGTTCCTAGAATTTTGGCTTCTTTGTTAGGACTTGAGTCAAAAAAAACTTTAGAGAACTATAACTTATTAGAAAATGTGCGAACGCTTCAAGAAGTTGAACAATTGTATAATGAGGGCAATAGATGATAGTTTAAGTTTGTTTTGAAATTTTACTTACTGCATCGATATTTTTATGCTATAAGAATATATACATTTTTTAAAATTATTATAGAAACCTAGGTCTCTATGCATTATAATATTTGTCTACTATAGAGAGCGTGCTATAGAAGCAAACTCAAACCCTTTCTACATAGGATTCGTTCTTGTTTAATAATGGTACCACAATGCCTACTCACACAAATACATGAACAACATCACGCAGTGAATATTTTGCCGAATCTCATACTCACTTTCTCAATTTCAAGACAAAATTGGTCTTAGGAATGCAACATGAGAAACACCACAATAGAAAATGAGCACCCTTGGTAAGAACCCGTTCACGTCATTGATAGTACGAATTTCAACATCTATAATTTCAGTAATTTTCTATCTATCAAATAAAGATAAATGAATTGGTTGCTTTGAGAATAGGTATACTAAGCTTCGACTGGCTACCGTTAAAAGGCCATCTAATCAGAGAAATTACCTTAAGAAAATTATATAAACTAACTCAAAAACCATTTATTTTTATTCTTTTTTTCTCTCTACTGGGGATGTCTAGTACATCTTTTTTCCTTGTCCTGTAAACATTTTATAGTGATATAATATACTTTTTAGTGCAATTCATGGCCTCATTGAAAAACATCTCAAAAATGACTTTTGATGACTGAGGATGGCTAGTACATCTTTTTTCATTGTCATGTACATATTTTATGGTGATATATGCCGGAGATTGAGCAAGAACTGTTCATGCCATTGTTGGTGAATTTCAACATCTATAATTATTGAAATAATCTGTTGTCATCTAAGAAACGAAAATACAAATAGAATATGTTGCTCGAGCATGTTAAATATATACCAAAATATTATTTAAACAATTATGCAAGAAGTCAAGAATGCAAGATAGTTTTCAGTAATGTAAATATAGGCTTGCGACTTGACAGTGTACATTCCTAAAAGTTCGTCTCTTTCCCTAATTTAAAGGACAATAAATTTGTGGAACCGGTTGGGAAAATAATGTAACAATTTATCATGCTCCACAAATTCTTATATAATGCATGTTTTCAGGAATTTTGATGAGACAATAATGCTATCGGATATCATGACACCCCAAATGAATGTGTGTGTGTGTGTGTCTCTCTCTCTCTCTCTCTCTCTCTCTCTCTCTCTATATATATATATATATATATATATATTGATGTGTGGATGTCTTTATTTAAAAAAAATAAAATAAAGCAACCCTGCATCTCACTCTCATTTATTTACATTAGTTATTAAATATGAAAATAGTCACCTTTCAATCCCTTTTACATGCTTTCAATCGGTAGAAAATTAAAAAATGTAGCCTTAACTGACTCTCTCTATCTTCTTTCATTGCACGTTCTCTTTGTATATTGGAATTTTAATTTGTTAATGTTGTGTATGGATGGTTTAGAATTTCAACACATATTTAATGTTATAATAATTTATTTAGTTTAATATAATGATAAGAATATAGTAAAAAAAATTGAGGATTTAAGTGTGAAAATAAGTAAAGATTATAAATTTTTATTGCAATTATAGATGTTTTGTAAATAATTTTTTTAGTGGAAATACAATTACATGTGGATTCATATGTAACTATCATTTGGTATTCCATTTTTAAAATAACTTTTAAATAAGGATGATATAACTATCATTTGGTATTCATATGTAACTATTATTTGGTATTCCCTTTTTATCTAAATTTAGGTATCATGGAAATTCATATGTAACTATCAATTAAAATAACTTTTAAATAAGGATAACATAACATAACATGAAATTTTATCAAATTATTTAGTAACATTCTGTATGGATTAATTTTGTTATATTAAATATTTTATTTAGTTGTTAGGATATATGTGAAACAACCAAATGAAATGGCCATTAAAATAAGTTAATATGGATGTTCTTTTTTAAATTGACTAATTCAATCGAGGGAAGAAATTTAATTTTTATAATAAAGTTGTTAATAAAAATTAATATAATATTAAAAAGATTAATTTGAGAAATTATTGATAAATAGAAGAAAGGATTTTTTTTTTAATTTCATATTGAATAAATTGAATTAATGTTATTAATTAATAAATAGGTAAAGTGAGAATCCCTGAGTCTTTGAGTTTTGGTGGCAATTTATTTCGCAACACTGCATTACTCTTCTCGGTCAATGACAATACTTCCTAGTGTGGAAGCTTTCTTTTCTTTGATATCATGTCGTTCAAGAACTTTGCATACATTGGGATTTATTGAATTGCATCGATGAATGAGATGTTGATGCAGAGCCTTTTCAACATATCCAAGAGTTTCGTAAATTGACCATCAAGCTTTGTCTTTTGCAATCTTTGCAAAAGGATAATGGTAGTACAAATTCCTTAATAGGAGAGGTTTCCTTAACCTTTGGATCCTCTGTTGCTCTTTCTGTATCCTCATTTTTGTTCAGCTTAGATTGATCTAGTTGCTCCTCAATAGTGGTATGTACCTTTTACTTTTGTAGCAATTGATCTCTTTACATTAATCTCTAGCAGTTGAACTCCACTATGGTTAGTTATTATCCCAATCTGCTCTTTCTCCCAACCTTCACTGTCATTACATGTTGTTTGAGATTTGTTTCAGTGTCACTAGCCAGTGCTCCTAGTAGTCTCTCCAAGAGTGCTTTCGCTATTTGGTCCATCTGATTTTTCAACTTCTTTATACTAGCTCCTTGAACTTACAAAATTTTATTTGGAAAGATATCTCTGCTAATTTAGTAACAAGAGCTTCTAATGAAGATTTATTTTCAGTCTGCTAAAAACCTAGTTGTGCAGTCTGTTGTGGTGCAATCTGAGACCCCTGATTATTACTCCACTGAAAGCTCAAAAGATATCTCCAGCCTGGGTAGTAGGTGTTAGGACTTGGATTATGTTGTTGTCTTTGAAAATTTTGAGTGTGGTTCACATCCTCCATTGTGTGAACAACAGAAAATCCTACATACAATCAATACTCTTGTGGCCCCCTCCATAATGTTAGCATCTCGGTCCCACGATTTGGATTGCATTACCTCATCCACTTTCTGTGCCAATGATGCTAACTGTGCTGAAATTGTAGTCAGAGAATCAACTTCAAATACCTTAGAAACTTTCTTTTCCCTCGTCCTTTAAATAGGCCAAAGCACATTTGTAAATGTTAAATCCTCCATGATTTGGTGGACTTGATTTGCGGTTCTTATTGTGATTGAACTATCGCATGAAGAGTCCATGTTAGCCCTATTAATCGGATCCAGGCCAATGTAGAAATATTGCACCTGAAACTACTTCTGCAATCCGTGTTGTGGGTATTAACAAAGTAAATCTTTGTATCATTCCCAACCCCCCGAATAGCATTTTGAGTCCTATAATTGGAAAGTGATAATCTCATCCTTTAGCTTTGCAATCCTTTTCGACAATAAATATTTTCTGAGGAAGTTCTGACTCAATTGGTTCCATGTAGTGATATTCTACGGTGGACAACTATCTAACCATTCCCTTGCTGAGTCCATCAATGTGGATTGAAGAGCATCAAATTACTTTGCTTGAAATCTCTGGATACTCGATAGTGGCACACAAGTTTAGAAATCTTAATACATGAATGTTGGGATTCTCTGTAGATCTCCCCAAGAATTTATATTTTTAATATTTCTAATTTTATAGTTTTTATTTAATTATGTTAATATTTACTAAAATATGATTCAATAAATATTTTTAGGAGAGATGAGGGGACATTAGCATAGATGCAATTTTATTGAACTTTGACAATTAGGATTTTATTGAAACATGAACATTAACCACTTTGTCTTGACTGGTTTTTATATTAAATAAAATCATTTGAGAATTTTTTTTTCAATATTTACCCAATTTTTCGTTTTAAAGAAATTTTAAATTGTCAATCATAATTTGCATATGTTGTTGCATCATATTGGTATCTAAGCACAATCACATTCTTGATAAAGACGTGTTGTATCATATTTTATTTGAATGATATATCCTATATTTGATATATGATTTTTTCCAACATTAATACATAAATTACAAAATTAACATATCAATGACTTTTTAATTTTGTATGCTAGAAACATCTTAGATGAATACGTCGCTGTCAAAAACACTAATGGAAACTAGGCTTGATTCAACAATAGATCAACAAAAGGAATTAGGTTGTCAGTTTAATTTGAAAAAATATTAAGTTTTTCGTTTTCTTTGTTGTTAATGTATATTTTTATTGTCATATATTAGATTTATTTTCATATTCATAGGATGATGTCACCAAACAAAGATTGCGATTATACTTTATAGAACAACTTGAAGAAGTGGATTATTAAGTTTTCATACTTCGAAAAGTTTTCATTCATATCTATAGCAATAATAACGGCCCTTTAAAGTTTTAAAACTATTTTTTTGTGATATGGAAGTATTATATAATGTTAGAATTAACCAATACTTTTTTTTTTATTTTTTTTTATAGAAGTTTCACTATTAGACTAATAGATTAATTTTTTTATAATGTTTTCAGGGAGTCCAAGTTACTTTGTTTATGTACACAATCGAAAAGTTCTTTTCCCATGCTTGAGAAAGGAAAAATATGTCGACTTTGAAATATATATATATATATCAATTATCTTAACTATTTTAAAAAAACAATATTAGTATCTCAAAAATATTACACACATCAATCATTAGTTACTTAAAACGTGCAATGCATGTA